CTTTCCATAGCTGGGCATGGGGGGGGGGGGGGCTGCAATCACCCAACCGGGAAGTTGCCTTCCATGCTTCTCGCCTAGTTCATCACGCAGCATCCCCAGCAAGGAAAACCCTGGTCCTGTTGTGATTCTGACCTTTCCCATTTCATCTCTTTCAGCCCCAATCTTTCTGGGCTCTTTGCAAGACCACGACGTATGATTTATTTATTTCATGTCCAAACATTTCATAAATAAGCATAACACTGGTAAAATTGAGGAAGCAACTGAATAGCTTTAGGCCAAAAACAGGCAACAGCAGCTGCATTGTCTGTAGCCCTGAACCCTTCTTCCTCTGTGCACGAGGCAGGACCCTGTGGACAAGCACACAGTGGAGGATTCTTCTGGGTTGTCCCATTTTGCCAGGTTGCCTTTTGACCTGCCCACTCCACTTCCCGGGAACGAAATGCCCCAACATTCTCCTCGCATTTCCACCATTTCCTAGAACTTCCCCTTGACGTCGGAGAAAGCCTCTTTGGCACCAAGTTCCACTGAGACATCATTGCATTAAAAATATTTCCAACCATCCTCCAAAGGAGAATTCAAACTCTTTCTCCAAACCTCCTCCTTCAGTTCCAACTGAATGTGTGTTCCTCGTATATCCGTCTGCCCGTTCAACCCTTCCACACAACGGGTGCTTCATTGGAAGAGAGATCCAGTTCTGCTGCCTCAATGGGAAGGACCAGATGGAGTGGTTTGGAGTGAAAGGAGAAGAAGAGATGGTGTCTGAGTGTTAGAAGGAATTCCTTGGTCGTGAGAGTGAGTTGCTTCATTTCAGTCAGGCCTTTGTGGAGCCGCAGTGGTGCAATGGGTCAAGCCTTTGTGCTGGCTGGACTGCTGACCTGAACATTGGGTTGCTGACCTGAAGGTTGCTGGTTCGAATCTGCGAGATGGGGTGACCTCTTGTCGCTTCTGACATGATACAAAAACAGGAAAGCCTTTGCCAAGGTCCCCCATGATCTTCTTCTGGCAAACACACGAGTCAAACGTGGACTAGAAAATACGAATGTGAGGTGGGTTTGTGATCAGGGAAGTGACCAGCCCTGAAGGGTGGAGAGCGAGGACTCCAGAAGGAGGACCAGAATCCACAGTGACCGCAACAGAGGAGAACGCTGGGTCAACACTCACACTATGAATTCCAACCAGGAGAAGACTTCACTTGGGCAGAAAGAAGGGAAATCCACAGAGACAGGATGGGTTGTGCCTGGCTCGGCAACAGAGTGACACGCGGAAAAGATCTCGGAAGAGTCTGAGTGGACAGCAAGTGGAACATGAGCCAAGAGTGTGATGCGCCAACAGCAGAAATAGCCAGTGGGATTTTGAGCGTGCCTTTGCTCACCTGGCGGCTGGAGTTCTGCCAAGGGATTCTGCTTTTCCGGCATGGAAGAAGAGGGTGGACTAGGTGGCCCACGTGGTCTCTTCCAAGTCTACTATTCTGTGATTCTTATAATTGGGTGAGAAGGCAAGGGCCGAGAGAGGAGGGGGTTCCTCTCCCTGGATGACCCCAAAAAGAGGCCGGAGAGCGACCTGCGGAGGATGCTCTCGCTGGAGATGCTGCTTGGAGCAGAACGGGGATGGACTCCACGACCCACTGGGTCAAGGGTGTCATGGTTGAAGGACACACATCTCCTCCTCCTCCTCCTCCTCCTCCTCCTCCTCCTCCTCCTCCTCCTCCCGGTCAGGTCTGCTTGTGTGCAGATGGGCCAATCCTCATCAGACCATGCAGGATCAACCAACCAAAGAACACCCAACAGATGGTCATGCTGTCTCTGCTTAGAAACCTCCAAAGGAGACTCTTATGGACTCCCGGTGGGAGCAGACTCCACTACTGAACAGCTCTTCCCATCAGGACATTCTTTCTATTGTTTAGGTGAGGCCTGCACACTTTGTCAGTGTGAGTGAGGGGTGGAGGACAAGGAGAAGCAGAGTCCAAACACGTACAACTCCCTTGCTAGGCAGGCACGTGAATGCAATCCTCTCATGGCCTCCTCCAGCTTTGCAATAGGACAGACTGTCTCATAGGCAAGTAGTTCATTCCAACCCCCAAAACACCGCAGAGTCCTGGTCACAGTGTCACAGCCTCTGGCCTTGTAAAGTAGCTCATCTCTTGGAATCAACACTCTTGAGTTCTGACTTTTATTTATTTATTGGCAACATTTCTGCCCCGCTCTTCTCAACCCCCGAGGGGGGACAAAGAGCGGCTAACACTGGCAACAATTCGATGCCGCAATAACACAATAACAACAATATAAAACCATAAACAGTGACATTAATTGTACAGTCATATTTACTTTCATCCAAAGTCCATGGAGGTTCTAGGCTTGATTTATCTGCTACTTGTAACTATTTACAGGTCTTCTCTTCATATACTCACAAACACAATGAGAACTTCACAGTACAGGGATGGTGGTGGATTACATACGCAGACAATTATGGCAAGACCTCTGACCAATGGCAGATAGCAAGCCGTCCTTCCTGGAAGGTCAGACCCAGGTGGTGGTGCTGGGGGGGGGGACTCCTGTTCGACTCCCTGGCCGGGGGTGTCCCTCAGGGTTGAAAGTTCTCCCTCAGGCTATCTAACAATTACATGAAACCGCTGGGAGAGATCATCCAGAGTTTTGGAGTTTGGTGTCAAATGTATGCCGACGACACCCAACTCTATCACTCCTTTCCACCCAAAGCCAAGGATGCCACCCTGCTCCTGAACCAGTGCCTGTCATCAGTGATGGACTGGGTGAGAGCTCACAAGTTGAGAGTAAGTTCAGACAAAACACAGGTACTCCTGGTCAGTTGGGAGGCGGATCAGGGTGTGGGATGACGGCCTGTGTTGGATGGAGTCACACTCCCCTCAAGACACGGTTCGCAGTCTGGGGGTGATCCTGGACTCATCGCTGACCCTGGAACCCCAGGTATTGGGGGTGGCCAGGAAAGCTTTCGCACAATTAAAACTTGTGCGCCAATGCGTCCATACCTTGAGATGCCAGATTTGGCCATGGCAGTACACATCTTTGCTGGATTACTGCAAGGCTCTCTACGTGGGGCTGCCTTTGAAGGTAGTACAGAAGGTGCAATTGGTCCAGAGATCTGCAGCCAGGTACTGGAGCACCGTACAGGGAACAGACAATTCCTACATTAGGGCAGCTCCACTATCTGCTTCTGGGCTAAATACAAGTGCTGGTCATTACCCAGAAAGCCCTAAATGGTTCAGGACCAGACTATATACAAAGCCGCATCTCCGAATACACACCGCCCTGGGCGCTGTGGTTTGCAGAGGAGGCCCTTCTCTCAGTCCCACCCTCATCTCAAGCGTGGTTGGTGGGGACGACAGAAGGGGTCTTTTCCGTGGCCGCTCCCCACCTCTGGAACTCCCTCATGAAAGAAGTAAACATGGCCCCTTCCCCCCTCTCCTTCAGGAATCTTTTAAAAACTTATTTATGAGCTCTAGTTTATGGGGAGGAGGAGGAGGATGAGCACTTTATTAACTCTATTCTGACTCAGATAGAGGAGTTCTCCCTCATCCCTGTTGACTTGCCACAAATCAGCTTACACCTTTTATATTCAATTCCTCAATATTATTTTATTTATTCGTTAAATGTGTCATCATCATCATCAACATCAACATCATCATCATTTACTTATTAATTGCCCTCCATCTAAGATGCTCTAGATGATTTACAAGCTAAATTGTAAAGGATAAAAATACATACATACAGATATTGATAAAATTAACATAGATAAAAAGCTCTAGTAAAGCTCTAGTATCTTAAATGTTATCTATATATATAAATTTGTTAGGGGCATCCAACGGAGAAACAAAACTCAAAACCCCCCCAACGAAACTTAACCAAAATTCCCATGCCCATAACACAACCCACAAGGTACAAACATATCTACTCAAAATGAAAAACAAACACACTCACAAAACGGCAAAACAACAAAACTCAAAATCCCCCAACGAAACTTAACCAAAATTCCCATGCCCATAACACAACCCACAAGGTACAAACATATCTACTCAAAATGAAAAACAACACAACACACCCACAAAACGGCAAAACAACAAAACTCACAAAAACCCCAACGAAACTTAACCAAAATTCCCATGCCCATAACACAACCCACAAGGTACAAACATATCTACTCAAAATGAAAAACAACACAACAACACACTCACAAAACGGCAAAACAACTGAGCATGCGCATTGGCGCCCAGCCGCAAGTTCCCTGGCGCGCGCACACAGCCTTCCAGCCAACGTTCCCTCTGCGGAAGCCATGCCCACTCCAAGCCCCACCGCGCCGCTTCCCGCACACACACACACAACCCCACGCTCCATCACCCCCCCCCCGCCGCCGCACACACACACGCAACCCCACTCCCCCCGCCGCCGCACACACACACGCAACCCCACGCTCCATCACTCCCCCCGCCGCCGCACACACACACGCAACCCCACGCTCCATCACTCCCCCCGCTGCCGCACACACACACGCAACCCCACTCCCCCCGCTGCCGCACGCACACACGCACCCAGCCCCACCCCCCCCCCCGCCGCACACACACACGCAACCCCACGCTCCATCACTCCCCCCGCCCCCGCACACACACACGCAACCCCCGCTCCATCACTCCCCCCCAATCTTACCTCCTTTTACTTCACGCCCCCCCAAACCCCACCCCGCCCCTTCCCGCCCTGTCAAAATCAAGGAAGGACAGGAAGGAAAGAAGGAAGAAAGAGAAAGGGAGGTAAAGAAAAAGGGGGAAGGAAGGAAAGTTAGAGAAAGAAGGAAGAAGAAAAGGAAAGAAAAGGAAAGATGGAAGGAAAGAAAAGAGAGACAGCAGAAGAGAAAGAAAAAGGGGGAAGAAGGAAAGAGGTAGAGAAGGAAGAAATGAGAGACAGAGGGAAAGAAAAAGGGGGAAGGAAGAAGGAGGGAAAGAAGGAAGATTGGCCACAGCAACACGTGGCGGGTAAAGGTTGTTATTTCTATTATTATTATTATGCTATTGTTCCTATGAGACCCTTTTAGGGGGAATGGGAGAGGTGTCAGGTCCCAGAGGCAATGCATTGCATTATTGTTATTGTTATGATGGTGGTGAAATAAAAGGAAATAAAAAGAGAAAGAAGGAAGCAAACAGGGAGGGAAGAAAGGCAAAGGAAGAAAGGGGGAGGGAATGAAGGAAAGAGAGAAGGATGAAACCAAGTAGTGAAAAAGAAAGAGGTAGAGAAGGAAGAAAGGAGAGAAAGGGGGAGGAAAAGGGGGAAGGAATAGGTAGGTACCTCTCTTTCATAATAGTCCAGATATCTACCTCAACTTTGATAAGTTTTACTATAGGCCACAGCAACGCGTGGCAGGGCACAGCTAGTGTTGTATAAATTTTAATCTTGTTAGTTTGGGCTATTTAATATAGTTTGGGTTATTTTATACTTATATTTTGATGTTATTCATTTACTGTTTATAATTTGATTTGGGGTTTTTTTGCTTGCCAAAATTCCTTTTGTAAACCGCCTTTGAGTCCCCTCGGAGAGATAGGGTGAGATAAAAATAAAGAAGTTGTAGTTGTTGTTATTACAGGAGATTTCCTCTAAACAGGCATCAATATTATTATTACTATTATTTTTATTTACTCCCCGTTGAATCTCTCCCGAAGGAGACCCAAAGCGGTTTACAATTAAAAGTATGACCACATAATTTACAAATACACAAATATTTGCCAAGGTCACAGTCCAACAGTCAGATGTCAGGAATGCATTCACCACAGTTCATAAAATAACTATCAAGAATGCAAGATTACAAACCAAAGTCAAAACTCCAAATTCAAGCCAGAGAGGCAAAGATGCAAACTGAAGTCCAAGTCCATAAATCAAGCCAAGTAGTCAGTCCAGAATTTGAAGTCAACAATGACTCAGGGTACAACAGAGTCCAGAACAGGATGACAGGAACAAGGCCAAAGTCCAGAATTCAAACCGAGGGGCAGCAGAGCCAAGATCCAGGCAAGATGTACAATGTTATCTGCTAAAAAGGAACTGTTCCTTTCCAGAACCCTTTTGTCATGAGATCTCAGCTGCTGCTCATTTCAGAAAGCCTTCCCAGATCATCCCAGAAGCCTGCAATGCTTTTCTTGAGGAGGAAAAGATCAGGTTAACCCCTTCCAAACTGGCTACAACACAGAGAAAAATCCACCTCTGTGGGAGTCCTGAACACAAAACCAGTCAAGCCAGACCACACAAACTGCTGCACATGACAGACAGAGAGAAAGTGGGCAGCCTTCTTTTTTCGGTCCATCATCCCAATTTTTTTTCTTCCTGGGACTCTTGGAAACACACTGGCAGGTCTCCTCTAGCTGTGTGTGAGCTCTTTGATGTCTAATGCATTTTCCCTTGTGTGGGTCCTTTGATGGGTACGCAGATGTGAACTCTGACTGAAGCTCTTTCCACATTCCATGCATTTATGTGGTTTCTCTCCTGTGTGGGTCCTTTGATGGGTACGCAGATGTGCACTCTGACTGAAGCTCTTTCCACATTCCATGCATTTATATGATTTCTCTCCTGTGTGGGTCCTTTGATGGGTATGCAGATGTCCACTCTGACTGAAACTCTTTCCACATTCCATGCATTTATGTGGTTTCTCTCCTGTGTGGATCCTTTGATGGGTATGCAGACTCACACTGTGACGGAAGCTCTTTCCACATTCCATGCATTTATGTGGTTTCTCCCCTGTGTGGGTTCTTTGATGGATACGCAGAATTCCACTCTCAGTGAAGCTCTTTCCACATTCCATGCACTTATGTGGCTTCTCCCCTGTGTGGATCCTTTGATGAATACGCAGATCTCCACTCTGAATAAAGCTCTTTCCACATTTCATGCATTTATGTGGCTTCTCCCCTGTGTGGATCCTTCGATAAATACACAGATCTCCACTCCGACTAAAGCTCTTTCCACATTCCATGCATTTATGTGGCTTCTCCCCTGTGTGAGTTCTTTGATGGACACGCAAATTGCCACTCCAACAAAAGTTCTTTCCACATTCTATGCATGTATGTGGTTTCTCCCCTGTGTGGTTCCTTTGATGGGAACGCAGATGTCCACTCTCACTGAAGCTCTTTCCACATTCCATGCATTTATGTGGCTTCTCTCCTGCATGGGTCCTCTGATGTGTACGCAGACTGTCACTCCGACTGAAGTTCTTTCCACATTCTATGCATTTATGTGGCTTCTCTCCTGTGTGAGTTCTTTGATGTTTACGCAGATCTCCACTGTGAGAGAAGCTCCTTCCACATTCCATGCATTTATGTGGCTTCTCCCCTGTATGGGTCCTTTGATGGGAATGCAGATGTCCACTCCGACTGAAGGTCTTTCTACATTCTACGCATTTATGTGGTTTCTCTCCTGTGTGGGTTCTTTGATGTGTAGTAAGAGAACTTCTCCCAGTGAAACATTTTCCACAGTTCATACAAGTATGTTTTGACAAGGAATGATTTTCCATTCTTTTGCATTTATGATTCAAATATTCTGCCAGAAGGTCACAGATATGTTCTCCTGATTACCTCTTCTCAGTCCTTGTATTGCTCTAGTCCATTTGAATAAATAAAATACCAAGCCCCACTTTTCACAGCACAATTCTCCCTTTCCTCCTTGAATGCACAAGTATATAGCTTGAAATATAATTTCTCCAACTTATTTCTTGTGAGTGCCGTGTAATTTCATTCCTGACCTAAGCCAAAGGGAAGTGTTCTTCTCAAGGTTCATTCAGAGGTTACCTGCCAGAGAAATGAGAGGAAAATCTTATCAGGCGCAGAGCACAGAAATATCTCATTGAACAATAAGAACAATAGCTTGGTGCTGTAGCCAATGCCGGAGAAGAAGGGAGAAAGAGCGGTCCTATTGAGAAGAGTCTTGGCCTGCTGAGAAGTCCTTTAACACTTGCTCAACAAAGAGCAAGCCCTGCAAAGGGGAGAGTGGCCCAAGATTCTCTGCATGAGATTGTTTGCACTGCAGTGTGTTCAGGGTGTCACCCAATCTCTGCAAAGGAAGCCTTCTAACAATGTGGTCAGCGCAGAAAGGGATCAGGTTGCAAAGCATTTCCTGCCAGATCCCGCTTCCTCACATCCCAACTCAGAACCTGAGTGACCACCTCTATGGGCAGACTATCGCAAGTGGTCAGTCTTGTGAGAAAAATACTTTATTTCTTCCAACTCAGGAAAAAAAAAATATGTTCCTGATCCCAAGGGAAAAGGAGGGGAAAATGGGGATTTGAACCCTCTGCAATCCGCGGAGTAGCCTAGAATTTTTAGAAAAACAAGGCTCCCAAATATATTGTTCCTTTTGTGGTCAAAAGCGCAACCCATTCTCTAGCTGCTGAACTGGACCTCCTCCAAAATGAAATTCATTCATCCAGATCAGTGGTTCTCCACCTTTCTCATGCCGTGACCCCTAAATACACTTCCTCAACCATATTTTCGTTGCTACTTCATAACTGCTACTGTTACGAGTTGTAAGGTAAATGTCTGATATGCAGGATGTATTTTTATTTTTACAAACTGAACATAATTAAAGCATAGTAATTAATCACAAAAACAATGTGTTTAGGGAGTATGGACAACGGACGAAGGGATTCATTTATTTATTTGGAGTGCTTCTACCCCGCCCTTCTCAACCCCCCAGGGGGGACTCAGGGCGGCTTACAAAAGGCACAATTCGATGCCCAACAGTTCACTTAGTACAATATACAAAATACAATATAACGACAACAGTTATAACTAGTTAAAACAATCAAATTAATACAATAGCAGCAATAAAATCATCTTGTGGTCAACGTTCGCCAATTCACAAATCCATAATCCATCCAGCATTGTCATTGTCCTTTCCTACTCTGGTCATCATTGTCTTTTATCCATCTGCCAGCTTACTCAAAGGCCTGGTCCCAAATCCATATTTTTAATTTCCTTATAAAGGAAAGGAGGGATGTTGCTGATCTAATTTCCCCAGGGCTTGAGTTCCACATGCGGGGGTCCACCACTGAGAAGGCCCTGTCCCTTGTCCCTGCCAAGTGTGTTTGAGAGAAAACCGGGGCCGAGAGCAGAGCCTCCCCAGGATATCTTAAACTCTGAGGTGGGACGTAGAAGGAGATACGTTCGGACAGGTACGCTGCGCCGGAGCCATATAGGGTTTTGTAGGTCAAAACCAGCACTTTGAATTGTGCTCGGAACTGGATCGGCAGCCAGTGGAGCTGACGTAGCAGAGGAGTGGTGTGCTCCCTGTATGATGCTCCGGTGAGCAGTCTGGCTGCCGCCCGTTGGACTAATTGAAGTTTCCAAACAGTCTTCAAAGGCAACCCCACGCATTGCAGTAATCTATTCGAGATGTAACAAGAGTGTGGACCACCGTGGCCAGATCTGACTTCCCAAGGTACGGGCGCAGCTGGCGTACAAGTTTTAATTGTGCGAAATCTCTCCCGGCCACCGCCGAGACCTGGGATTCAGGCTCAGCGATGAGTCCAGGATCACTCCCAAGCTGCGAACCTGCATCTTCAGGGGGAGTGTAACCCCATCCAACACAGGCTGTAACCCTATACCCTGTTCAGCCTTACGACTGACCAGTAGGACCTCTGTCTTGTCTGGATTCAGTTTCAATTTGTTAGCTCTCATCCAGTCCAACACAGCAGCCAAGCACCAGTTCAAGGTCTGGACAGCCTCCTTGGTGACAGGTGGGAAGGAGTGACAGATTTGGACATCATCTGCATAGAGTTAACACCTCAGTCCGAAACTCCAGATGATCTCCCCCAGTGGCTTCATGTAAATGTTAAACAACATCGGGGACAGAATTGAACCCTGTGGGACTCCACACAACAATGGTTGTGGGACCGAACAGGTGTCACCCAGTAATACCTTCTGAGACTGTCCCTCGAGAAAGGACCGGAGCCACTGCAGAGCAGTACCCCCAAGTCCCATGTCTACGAGGCGTCCCAGAA